GAACTTGTTAATGGCTCTGCCAGATAGAAATTCATGCAAACACAATGTACTCAAAATCAAAAAGGAGGCATGCCTGAATCCTCAGCAGCAACCACTCAAGCTTGATTTGAATTAGGGAATGATTTAAAGTGATACAGAGAAATCACCAGCGACTTAGCTATTAGAATATGTGAGTTTCAGTAATATACCTAAAACAGGAATATAAAATATGTGCAGGTATTCTATATGCACATATAATATCCACCTAGAAGTTGCTTTTGAAAATTATAACAATACTGATATAATGAGTTTTAAAAAAGAGTATCAATAGCACATGCTTTCTTGATATAGATATTTAAATCAATATGTATTTAGTATAATAGATTTGCATTATTAATACAATCTTAAAAACAGTGACCTTATCTAATTTGCATAATTAATTTCTCAAATTATGTTCTTCAAATACAAGTGTTAGTTTTATCCATATTGCATTTTGTTTCCTTTAACAATCCCTTTTGTTTAGGCCAAATATTTCAAACGTGGAGTGTATTTCTACATTTACCGTTAACTTTATTTTCTCCCTTTTAACAGCTGCATTTTAAAAGCTTTTTTTTTTTTTTTAACTCTTCTTTAAAAAAGGCAGTTTTAATACACTTACAAATGGTGGGAGGATACTACATAAGGACTTAGAACTATGGATATTTGGATAACTTCATAAATCTGCAGTAGAGGTTGATTTTCTTTTATGTGAAATAAAAGGAAATTTAAAAACTTATAACTGTTAAGATAAACATGTAGAAAACTCTCAGAGATATGGTTACACAGGGACATAAAAAAAAAAAAAAAAAAAAAAAAAACACATAAAAAACCCAGTTCCGCTAGCAAAACGAAAAGATAATTAACTTTGTAAAAAATAAATGAGTACTCTTTGACAGCGAACAGATAAAATCACTGGTTGGTTATCTTAAGTTTTTCATTTTTAAATTGGCTTTTTCAATACAACGTCGAATCCTTAGAAATAGGTGTGCATTGCCTTAACTGTGAAAGACAGAGACATGCAAGAAAGTGTTACTGAACCCTATCTTCTCCCAGTTGTCCCGAATGCTGTAATTGAAATTGTCATACAACATGCCCAGAAAACAACACAAAAGGCCATTGTTATAGACACATACACACGTGCATTAGTTTGAAAGTTAAAATATATTGTTTTTAAGTAAACTGGCTTCTTCTTTTGTGTCCTATCTTGACAAGAAAAAATAAGTGAAAAAGAAAAAATAAAGAAGAGGAAAGAACCACATACATTTGGATAAGAAAAACAACTGTTTCATTTAAAGGGATCTAAAAAGACAGCTACGAAAGATATCGAACACATAACCAAAATGCTGAGAATACAACTAATCTTCCCTTATAACTTATAATTCTAAATGGGAGAGGGAGGGGCTGGGGGTGGAGAACACCATCAGTATCCTTAGAATTCACATTTCCGGTTTCTAAGGTCTGATGATTTAAAATTGTCAAGGAAATAAAAATGGTGCTCAAGTAAAATGTATGGAGGCTAACTTAACCTTCACAAACAATGACTGCTAAATTTGAAAAAGATATTAAAATACTTCAGGTATGAATACATTTTAATTTTAATAAAATCATAATTATAGGGTCCTTATAAACTAATCAACCAGTGACTGCTTGGAATTTGGTGTGGTCTAAAAATATCTAGAAGAAAGGGAATAGGCTCAGTTTTTTAAAGTAAGAAGGTTGAAGCTATGGAATTTTGCAAATTCACATTTTTAATTTATTTCTTAAAATATTAAACCTCTTTACATATTAGTAATATTACATATATTTTAAACTAAAAATTTATTTTACTTTAAAAATGAGATGACATTCAGTTGTGTGAAGGAGTCTAACAATGGACACTAAATAGCCCAAAATTTATTACTCTTACACACTACTTGAACGCAGGACACTTGAAGGTGAGGCTATCTAATTGCAGAAGTGTGAAAGAATAAAGAAAATAACGGGAGAAGAATATTTACATATCCATCCTACAGCATCATCGGTTAGAATGAAGGGGGTGATTGACATTTTTGCGATTCAGCCTAGTCTTTTATAAAATATAAAAAGCAAACATATAATTACGTCTAATACTCTGTGTCCAATATCTGCACAACTATCATAGGAAAGTGGATTTGCTCAATATTGGAACTCTAGGGCCAAACAGATTCTTCCAAGTGATCTTCTCCCTAACTTTCTTCCCTCCACCACCACCTCCATTATTATGAGGGTTTGCTGGTGGTGAGTATGAATCAGAAATTAGAAGTATACAATATCTGTTAATATCCACCCTCCCTGCCCCCTCTTTTTTTTTTTTTTTTTTTTTTTGAGAAGGATTTTCGCTCTTGTTGCCCAGGTTGCAGTGCAATGGCGCGATCTCGGCTCACTGCAACCTCCGCCTCCCGTGCTCAAGCGATTCTCCTGCCTCAGCCTCAGGAGTAGCTGGGATTACAGGGGCCCGCCACCGGGCCGGTTAATTTTTTGTATTTTTTTTAGTACAGACGGGGTTTCACCATGTTGGTCAGGATCTTCTCAAACTCCTAATCTTAGGTGATCCACCCGCCTCGGCCTCCGAAACTGCTGGGATTACGGCCTCCCCAAAGTGCTGGGATTACAGGCGTAAGCCACCGCGCCCAGCCAATATCCCTTTTAAACCAAGGTAAACAAATTGTTATTGAAGGGTTCCTCTCCCATCTCTCCCTTATTATGCAGTAAGTCCCGAGTATAAAGGAGTCATAGAAATTTAATTTTCCAGATCCAGTGAATCTCCCCATTATACAGTAAGACCAACATATACATGCTCCCATAAGGGGCTCTGGGAAGCTGCACAGTGATAGGATATCTCTTTCCTTGGTCTGGGTGGAAACTGCATAATAATACGAAAGCTCAGGAGCGTTGAGGGAGGGTTTTTGTGGTGAACCCATATCTAAGGAATTTATTTAATGTTATTCTACCTTCAATCCACTGGGCCCAGCGGGTTATTACAGAGAGCCATGCTAAGGAAATAAGGATGCAAGTTGTAGTTTCATGAGTTTTGCATATCTTCTTCAAGGAATAATCAATGTTCACCAGCGAAAATTGAAAAGCAAGGAGATGGGGACGATTCCAAGGACCCACTCAAGTTCCTGGTGTTTTTGTGAATGTTCTCTGTTTTAGACATGCTTTTGTTTAGGGGAAGGCATGACCTGAGCAAACTGGGATAAAGAAGAGGTTGAAAATGCCTATGGTTTGGGCAGAGTTAGGAGTTTTAGAGAAAATACCAGGGTAACTTTTAGAGTCTTGGCTTAAGGCCAAAGCTTCTGAATCAAGGAAAGAGTGACAGTTGCCTTCCTCTATTTTTATTAATATATAGGTGTGTTACCATTATTACCTACCAGAAAGAGCATAATATTAATCAAATCAAATTACATGAGTCCTATAGTAGAAATACTGCAGACATTTACTATTATATTAAAATTTAATTAATGGTAAGACTTTTCAAGGTGGTAATAGTTATATGCAGCTCTTTGGCTAAAAGTCAAAGTATGATATATACAGAATAGAAACGATGCTGGACTGCCAGAAAATCTGCCTCTCCCTCCCACTCCCCCAAAATCTATTAGGAACGAGCATTTACTGTTATTATTTCAAGTATTTATGCAAAGTAATTTAAAATGATTTAAACATCCCATATATTAATTAAATTTAATAATAAGTTAGATTCTGGCCGGGCGCGGTGGCTCAAGCCTGTAATCCCAGCACTTTGGGAGGCCGAGACGGGTGGATCACGAGGTCAGGAGATCGAGACTATCTTGGCTAACACGGTGAAACCCCGTCTCTACTAAAAAATACAAAAAACTAGCCAGGAGAGGTAGCGGGCGTCTGTAGTCCCAGCTACTCGGGGGGCTGAGGCAGGAGAATGGCGTAAACCCGGGAGGCGGAGCTTGCAGTGAGCTGAGATCCGGCCACTGCACTCCAGCCTGGGCGATTGAGCGAGACTCCCTCTCAAAAAAAAAAAAAAAAAAAAAACATTTGTGCTATTAACAACAGTCAGAAAAATAACATTATTTCATTGGTATTAAATGAGGCAATATACATTTTGATTAAAAAAAAAAAAAAACCTAAGTGTATTTTTTCAAATTATACTTTTACATAGAGTTAGAAAACTTGCCCATATAAAAGAAACTGTTGACCAAACTACACGTTATATCTAACTTGTATATTGTTCTTACTATAGGCTATGCTCTGTCCTCCTAGATTTATATATATTAATATTTTCTCACAACAACCTTATGAGTTGGAATTATTATTGACTCCAATACAGAGATGAGGAAATCAGCCCCAGTTTCCTCCCCACAGTTAAGTAACGGTGGTTAATTGGAGAGCTGAGATTTAAAACTAGTCCATGTGGCTCTACAAGCCTTGCACTTAACCAGTATGCAAAAAAAAAAAAAAAAAAAAAAAAATGCATCATAAATCTGCTGACCCAGAAAAGATGAAGAAATAATGCACACCTGGCTTCTTATCGCATGTGTTTTTCATCATGAAAGCAGGGGCGTTGTGTTTCAAATCTTAAATGTGTTAATAATCATATCAATTTTCCACTTAATTTCTTTTGTGTGTACAGAATCTCAAAACACAACCCTCTCTATTTCTTTCCCTTTCTCTATATCAATGTATTAAATTTTGCCTCTTCAAAGCCATAGAAAATAGACTTGCACTGTATCGACAGAGCAAAATGTGAATGACTCAGTCACACATTCGACACCTTTGAATTAAATTTTTCTAACATGTCTTCACTTTAAAAATATGACAAGAAAAGGGTCGGGAAGGCCACATCGTCCTTCTCTTTCCTGGCACCTCCACATTGAGAAGATTTAATGGTTACTTTTGTATGTTGCATCTTGCCAGTTAGTTCAATTTAGATGAAAGCTGTTGTTTTCTAATTCCATCTCACTGTAAATGACAGAGACAAATGGTCATATTACCTTGAGAATTCCTTTGGCAGAATAGGCTGCATATGAATAGAGCAGGTCTTGGCTGCTATCTTTTCTGGCTTCTTCACTGCAAGGCTGGCCATTAGGATGAAAGCATTGACCACTGCTGCTCAGAGTCACAGTGCTGGGAGAAGGGTCTGGCAGATTAAGCAGCACAGAGTAATTTACAAACTGTACATCTTCTAGGCCCAAAGAAGTCCACTGAGTCTTAATCTTCTTTGAAATTTCCATGTCATCTTCACTTTTATACAGTTGTACCAAATTTCTGAAATAAATTTTTAAAGAAAACTTTTTTTAAAAGAATAATTCTTTATTCTTTTGAGATATGACTGCTCAATATATGAACAATATTAATACATGTTGTGGGATACTGAAAGATAAATGAGACAGGACCCTACCACATGAAACATAAACACAAATCAAAGCAGAATGAATCAACTTCTTAAATTAAGAACTAATGGCCATTGTGGTAGCTCATGCCTGTGATCCCAGCACTTTAGGATGCTAAGGAGGGAGGATCGCTTAAGCACAGGACTAGCCAGGGCAACATAGCAACACTCTCTGTCTACAAAACATTAAAAAATAAATTAGCTGGTTGTCCTCGTATGCATCTGTGGTCCCACCTACTTGGGAGGCTGAGGTGGAATAATCACTGGAGCCTGGGAGTTGGAGGCTGCAGTGAGCTAGGATGGAACCATTGCACTCCTGCTTTGTCAACAGAGACTCTTTCCAAAGAAAAACAAACAAACAAACAAACAAACAAAAAAATCCACTAACACAGCTCTATGGCATTGCAGAGAAGAGTGATATTAATGCCTACTAGATCTTCTATTAGTTCTGATCCTTCTATCAACATCAACGTAATCCACTTAAAAGTCAATTCCAAAATCTAGGTGTCATTCCAGTTGAGACATTTCTTTGTTATAGTTAAGGTGATTTCATGTAAAATGATATGATTGACATATAGTTATTGCTATTTAAAATAATACAGAGAGAGCTCTTTAGACACAAATTTTATGCCAAATTACATGATGCTATGAGCACGGTTTTCAATAAAATCAAAACAAAAACATAGATTGCCAAACCAATATGAAATTGTTTGTGTTGTACTTTCTGTACTTCGTATATTTATTCCTATACCTATCCCATAATCCAGTGACACTATTTTTGCTTATGACATACTAGAAACCAGAAAAAAATCTGTTAAAAATTTGTGTATAGTACCTAGAACAGAATCAGACATGAGAACTTAATAAAAATAATTTAATCCATATAATTTTTTTTCAGTTTCGTGGCTAAAATATTAATAAAAAGGTACCAAAAAGGAATAATTTCCTTTTGGGGCAAAAATGTACCTTCTTAAAAGAATCTTATTGCTATCCAAGCTATTATCTAAGTGTTTATTTTGATATTATTGTTATTTTTGCCCATCACATTATTTTTCTTGCTTATTTACTCCAGGACCCTGTTTATTTAACAACTCCTAGACTGTATTGTTCAACCTATGGCCCATGGGCTGCATGTGGCCCCAGGACAGGGCTGAAAGTGGCCCAACACAAATTTGTAAGCTTTCTTAAAACATTATGAGACTTTTTAAAAAGATTTTTTATTTTTTATTTATTTATTTTTTTAGCTTATCAGTTATTGTTAGTGTTAATGTATTTTATTGTGTGACCCAGCACAATTAGTGTTCTTCCAATGTGGCCCATGAAAGCCAAAAGGTTGGACACCCCTGCAACAGTACATGCCTAGAAAAGAAATAAGAAGCAGGCACAATAGTGGTAAGAAAGCATTACAAGAGATAAAAGGTAAGTCTGAGACCACAGCTTAGAAGCTGGCCTACACAGGAAGATGCAATAAAAACAGTTTCTCAGTTATTTCCTATCTTTGTGAAGCTACTCCTATTCATGCTTTCTTCCCTCTTCTTTTCTTTTCTTTTTTTTTTTTTTTTTTTTTCTACTTGGATCAGTCAACAGTGCCACCTAAATTTTATGGAAGAGCTGGTGAGAAGAATTATATTATTTTTCATTACCAGTAAGAGGGATCTGCCTTCCACTTTGTTTTGTTGTTGTCACTTTATCTGTTCTCTACCTTTTCCTACCCTCTTTCTCCATTGCTATTGCATTCTCTCTGTATTTTTGGGATGGGGCAGGCAAACTGAGTTAAAACAACACGATTTGACAGGAAAGTCATTTACAAAGGTGCATCAATAATGTTCTGTTAAAATCCATATAAAATGAGGTTTCAAAATACATATTTTATTTATACAAACATAGCAATATATCGTTAACATTGACAGACAAAGAGAAAAAAAAAGAATGTGAAGACTGCTTTATATTTTGTTTGCTCCTCTACACAGTTAATTGATGAACATAAATCCACCAGGGAATGTGCAAGATGTTTAATCTGCCATTCCTTTTGTTGGTCTCAGTTGCTTTATGGTGCAAGCAACTGAAAACATTGTGTGTTATACTATAAGGCCACCAAAGGCAAATGAAATACTTCTTTTGGGGCTCAAGTGAAGAATTAGTAATTTGTCCCAATTGTGGAGGATTTCTAAATATTTTTCAGTACTAAGCTAAAATTAATGAGTGAAAAAATGTATACAGTCTTTACTTCACTTTCAATTTATGGGATATGTACTTTATAATATCATTTTTAATAATATGAAATAATGTAAACATATAAGGAATATAGAGCATATACAGTTATAAAGAGTAGTGAAAGGAACCACCCAGGTTGTGAAGTAGAAGATCACTAATATTATCAAAGCCCCAAGAATAGTTTTTCTCTATTCAATCACTTGCCTCGATCCCCAGGGTAAGCATCAATCTGATTTTGTTGTTTCTCATTGTCTTTTTAAAATAGGTTTATATACATATATGTATATCTCTTTAACAATTTCTTTAATTATAGGTGTTTTCACTTTTACAAAATTGGCATATTGTATATGGCTTTCATACTTGCGGTCTTTACTCAATATTGGGTGTCTGAGATTCCTCCAGGTTTTTAATCAATTTTCCTAAGATAAATATTTTAAAGTTGTTTTCAGTTTTTCACTATTGTAAACGATGCTGCACTGGATATTCTTTTTCATGTTTCCTGATAGACATATGCAAAAGTTTCTTTAGGCAAGGGATTATTGGTCCATAAGGTATGCACCTGTGTAACTTCATTCTAAAATGTCAAAATGCTTTTAAAAGAATTATTTTAATTATACTCTTGTTATCTTTTCATGACAGCTCTACTTCCTCCATTCCTCAGCAGTACTAGGTATTGTCCATTATTTTATTTTACTTTTAAATTTTATTTTATATTATACTTTTGTCAGTGTAGTGAGTATAAAGTAATATTTCATTATGTGTTTAACTCAGAAGTACAACTGCTGGAATGCAGTATATACTAAATAGTTTTCCAAGGCTTCCTTTACCACCCTCTGCTCCTGTATCCAATTTCCGCTCCCCAATGAAGGTAAGATTATATCCCATTGTGGTTTTAATGTGCTTCTTCATGATTACCAGTGAGGATCTTTTCATGTATTATTTAGCTATTCACATTTCCTTTTATATATAATAACTGCTCTTATTTTTGCCTATATTTATAGAAGTTTTTGTATGTTCTGAATAATCTTTTTTAGGTCATATGTATGGCACACATTTTATCCTAGTTTTTGTCTTCTCTTTTTATTTGCAATGTATTGTCTTATGATAAACCAAAGTTTATAATTTTAATGCATAGAGCTTTTAATATAATTGTTTTCACATTTTCTGATGTGCTTAAGAAATTCTCAATGCTGTGGTCATAAAGTTATTCTCATTTTTTTTTCCTAAAAGTTTTAAGAAGTTGTTTTTCACATTTCAATGTTTACTTGGAGAACATGTGTGTATATGTGTGCAGGTATGTGGCAGGAGGCAGGAATCCAGTTTCACTTTTTCCAACATGAGTCCTAGTACCCCTTGTCAAATATGCCCCGTTAATGTGCAATGACAACTCTGTCGGATATGAGTTACCATGTGTGTTTGGGTGTGTCTGCGTTCCCAAATCAATTCAATTTGTCTTTTTCTTCCATCTCCATAATAATGTGCTGTTTTCATTATTACAACTTTATTATAAGTCTTAATATCCAGAATGGGCAAGTCACACTACTAGTTCATCAGAAAATCTTAAATTATTTTTCTTTTCTCTTCCATACGAATATTGGAATGAGCTCACTAATTTCCATGCCAACATTGTGACTGAAATCACATTGAGACTAAAAATCACTTTGGGAAGAAATGCCATCCTTATAATAATATAAAAATAAATCCTTAATATTATTGCTATAGTCTGAATGTTCATTCATATATTGAAATCCTAACCCCCAAGGTGATAGTATTAAGAGATTGGGGTCTTTGGGAGGTGATTATATTATATTGTCTTTCCATCATGTGAAGACATAGCTAAAAAGCACCATGTGTGAGGGAGCAGGCCCTTACCAGATACCATAGGCACTTTGATCTTGAATTTCCCAGCCTCCAGAATTATAAGAAGTAAATGTCTGTTGTTTACCAGTTATCTAATCTAAGGCATTTTGTTATAGCAGCCTGAACAAATTAAGATAATGGTTAAGTGTCTGGTCAATGTTAACATAAAAGTATGTTTTAAAATTAAAATATTTCCCATTGCTGGTGTAGAGGAATACTATTCAGTTGTCCTATAAAGTAATCCTGCTAAACTGTCTTTTTAATTATAATAATTTTCTTCCTTTTTTCTATTTTAAAAAATTATATCACATGCAAAATAATTAAGATTTTATTATATCCCTTCTAATTATTTAGAGATTTAACTTTTTGTTTTGTTTTGTTTTACTGCACAGGCTATGACCTCCAGAAAATATTTAAAGAAGTGTTAATAATGTGTGATAGTAGGCATCCATGTTGTAATGTGTATATTGGGTTAAAGATATTCCTTCCATTCTCATGTTGTTAATAGATGTTTTATGAATGGATATCCAATTTTGTCAGAAATTCCGATACATTTATTAAGACAATTGTATGTTTTATTTCTTTAATTTGGTGGATTACATTAGATTTTTAAAATATTAAACTTACATTCCTAAAATAAGCTGGACTAATAGAATGAATTATAATTTTAGCTATCATGTGAAGCATTTTACAAATATTTTATTTATTATTTTCACATCCATTTTTAAAAGTAAATTTGGTATGTAATGTTCCTTTCAGCTATCACTTCTGATTTTGACTTGTAATATACAAATCACAAAAA